AAAATAAATTGAATTGAATTGAATTGAAGGTGGTTTTTGATTATGCTGAGCTTCTGAATGATGCTGATTCAAACAAGCGGTTGCAGAAAGAGCAGTGCGACAGGTTCAACAGAAGAATCTCAACAATCAACCGTGGCAGGGCTTGCTGTGATCCACCATGCTTATTATGATCATTTCAAATTCCGAACAGCACCATTCATGAACAAGGACGAACAAAGCAAGATGGAAAATCAGCAGCCAATTTGAACAGACTTACAAAGACTTTTCCAGATGGTGCGGAGCAGGCTGTTGCGACACATTCTTTACAATGTCCATTCGGCACCATTTGCATCGCCGCTTTTGACAAATTACAAGAAACAAAGACCTTGCATGCTACTAACATCCACAAAGTGATGCAGCATTTGAGCATCCGACAAACCCGCGACTGAGCTTACCTGGAACGAAGACTGGCTTGCAGAGGTTCTTGCACTGCAGAGGCTGCTGGTGGTACGCGCGGTTGGTCAGCTGCTGACAGGGCTGCCGGGGGACTGTGGGTGACAGTGGCGCCCATGCTCTTGAACTTTGAACTAGGTACCCAGGTAAAGCAAGTGTAAGTTATAATGCAAGCACTGAGCAGGTGTTCGGGCACCGATCAGCAAGAGTCGCAAGATTGCTGGCTTGCACTGGTGAGGAATCAGGTGGCAAAGAAGCGCCGGTACCCAAGGAATCCGACCTTGATTAGGTACCGTAGCCTTTAAAGAGGGCGTCCTGGGACCCGGAACGCCTGACGTCAGCTACGTACTGTGAAATTTAATCGCGCGGCGATTCTGCCCGCGTGACGCTGATTTTGAAAACCGGTGTGAGTACGGTCTGCGCGGCGTGCGGAAAAAGGAGAAATTTTGCCCTCGAGTCTCGACCGAGTTTCGATCCCTCGGTTTCTCGGAGAGAGACGAGCGCACTTCCCATTTGCGCTGGAGATTTTCGTGCGGCCGAATTGGATCGGGAACTCACGAGTCGGGACAGTACATATAGACTGACGCCCTCTTTAATAGGTACAGGCACTTGGGCTTTGAGATTGTGATCGGCTGGAATCATGTCCAGATTCCAATACGGTGCCGGTACCTGAGCACTGCAGCTAAAATTAAGGTACCGTATCCAGTTACTTGATTACATTTTCTTGTCATTTTCCTGTCAAGACTCACAGCTAGCTACCTAGGGAGGTACTGTAGTCTGTACCTGGGTGTACCAAGGTACCTAGTAGGTAGGTACCTAGTTCTAGAGCGTGCGCACACAACCCGAGCAGCTTGCACCGTGCACGTCTTGAGACTTGAAGTTTGAACCCGTTCAGTGGCATTGGGCACTGCTCCGACTCAGGAGTCAGCGTGCCTTGGTCCGACCGTACTTGGGTGATGTGCAGGGCAATCATTGCTCAATCAGTACTAAAGCTGACTCTCGTCGTATGTCCCATGGACTAGCCGCTTATGTTCCTTGAAGTTCATATTCACGGTCCAATTTTTGCACTGGAGTGCCAGTATTGCATACACGAGACCAGAAATAACTTGACCGCGTATGAGGTCGTCTGTTACCTACCGGAAGGAGGCTCCGGCCCTGCGGACATGTACGGATAGTGACCGAGTCATGACGTGATCAACGACCGTTAGGTAAAAGATGGATAATAAAAAAGAATGAAGAATGAAGAACTGATCGGACGGTGTGCAAAGCCCGTAAAAGGCATACAAGGGTCCACTTCGGTCCACGTCAACGACCCAATCCATTCCCCCAATGATATTACGATGTGTATGATATACCGTACCACTTGTCCGGTTGGGCAGATTTTTGCCCAATAATTAATTTCGTATCTCATGGATTTTGGGCAGCTTCATTTATCCATTTATTTTGTTTTTTTACGGGGCAAAATGATCTGCAAATCTATAATTCGAATCTATTTTCAATTCAGATTTTTGGGCAAGTCCAAGAATATTGATTTGTTGCCCAACCGGACAATTGGTACGGCACATGAAACAAGCCACAAGCGTCTCGGTCGCGCCTGGTCGCGCCGGCCGTGCACCATTGATATTGTATATTCTGCCGCCACGACATCTATAGGAATGACGTGGCGATTCTGCACCGTTCGATGCGTACCTGTCGCCATGGCCTAACGGCTATCTACCTGCATTTGACCGTTAGGACTGCTGCTTTCGCCTTGCGAGCATTTGCTTATGTTGTCTTGCATCTTGTGACTGGAGCTACGGCTCACCTATAAAGGTGGACTTCTCCACCGTGTAAGTCCTCATTCCTGGTTTCCAAGTTTGAGGCATCCAATCTCTAGCAAGTTTCTCAACTCTCGAGCTCCGCTCTTCCCGCTAAGCTCCCTACTAGTGTATAAGTCTCCAATTTCCTTGTGAAATTAG